ATTATTATTTAATGGCCCTTTTTGTCCCTGGTAATATTTCTAGTTCTCATGTATACTTTTAGAGGATGTTGTTGTTGTTGTTGTTGTTATGTGCCATCAAGTCAGCCCTGACTCATAGCGACCCCTCCTTGGGTTTCCGAGGCAGTATCACTACGGAAGTAGGATTGCCCAACCTTCCTTCCGAGGATAGATTCTTAAAAACTTCCATGGCAAAGTAAATTTGCAAAAATAGGATACTTAGAATTACTAATTATATTCAAAAGTTATTCTGATACTATATTTTCTTTAGGTTGGAACATTAAGATTTTGTGGAACAACTGAATTTGCAAGTGGGCAATGGGCTGGCATTGAATTGGATGAACCAGAAGGAAAAAACAATGGAAGTGTTGGAAAAGTCCAGTACTTTAAATGTGCCCCCAAATATGGTAAGGTAGATGCTATTTAAATTAATAAGAAATAATTTAAAATAAACAAATTTTACTCTTTTATCATTTTTAGCTAAAACTTTCCTCCAGGTTACTTATGTAGTTAATTAGGGGATTGTGAATTTAGGGAGGGCTTTTTAAAGATAGCAGATGTTACATTATATCTTTACACACTGATAATAGAAGAGAGAGGGAGAAATTGATGTTGCAGAAGAGAGTGGGGATAATTATAGGAGGAAAATCCTTAAAATGTTAGTGGGATGGAATCCAGTGCACAAATGTAAGGATTAGCCTTATGTTAGGTCAGGCACAGCATACCCCTATTTAAAGGAGAGAGACAGTGGAAAATGAGACAGATGTATATACCATGCAACACACTGGACAATAGCTAAGCCAGAAATAGTAGTAGAGAACTATTACCCTTACTCATTTCTCTTTTTCCAAAATTGTACTTAACACCTGATTATGTATACCTTATGTGGTTCTTGTCCATGGAAGCAGTAGTCAAGAAATCGAACATACTGCATTAGGCAAGTCTGCTGCAAAAGATGTCTTTGACGTTAAAAAGCAAAGATGTCACTTTGAGGACTAGGGTGCATGTGATCCAAACCATGGTATTTTCATTTGCTTTATATGCATGAAAAACCTGGACAGTGAATAAGGAAGGCCAAAGAAGAATTAGTGCCTTTGAAATATGGTGTTGGTGAAGAATATTAAATATACCACAGACTGCCAGAAGAATGAAGAAATATGTCTTGAAAGAAGTATGGCCAGAATGCTCCTTAGAAGCAAAGATGGTGAGACATTGTCTCATGTCGTTGGACATGTTCTCAGGAGGGAACAGTCCTTGGATGGTGCAGGACTGAGATGTTTCATTCTATTGTACATAGGGTCACTATTAGTCAGAACCAACTTGGTGCCAGCTAGCAACAACAACAACATGATGTGGTTCTTAAAGTATTGTGTGTGTGTGTGTCTTGACAATTAGATTGTAAACACTTTGAGTGCAAGTACTATGCCTTTTTTTTTCTTTTTTGTCACTCACTGTAGGACACAGAGTCACTAAAAAAGAAGTTACATATTTTATTACTAAATTGTACTTGCCTCTTTATTTGAAATGCTTTTAGTTGCTTAACCCTAACCAAATGTCTACATTTTTCCTTAGGTATTTTTGCACCTCTTTCTAAGATAAGTAAAGTAAAAGACCGAAGGAAGACTATGGTGCACACTTCTACCACAAAAGCTGTACCTCTCATCAGGTCCCAGAAAATTGATGTAACCCATGTAACATCCAAAGTAAATACTGGTAGGTCAAGCCAGAAAGTTAACTATCTTCTTTAGCATTTTGATTTTATTTGTGATGCTTCTATGTTTAGGTTGCTTTCTCACTGCCACTGAGTCAATTCTGACTCACAGACCCCTTTTGGGTTTCCAAGGCTTTAAATCTTTATGGAAGCAGACTGCCCCATCTTTCTTCTGTGGGGCAGTTGCTGGGTACAAACCACCAACCTTTTTTTTGGTTAGCAGCCAAAATGCCTTAGCCACCGCACCACCAAGAGCTCCTTTCTTTTTTTTTTTTTTTTTGGTCTGCTAACTGTGAAACTGGAATTTAATAAAACCTGCATCTTACTGGTTTTTAAACCTCAGTCATGGTTTATGATTTTCATTTCCTATTCCAGATTTGTCTCTTCTTTTACTTTCCTACTATCTCCATGCCTTTATCACCCCATAATCTAAACCTCAAAGCTGAATTTTATACTGCCAATAAATAATTTGTGAAACGCAACTAGCTTTATGTCTCTTATCTATTCAAGGATCTTTAGTGACTTTTTATCAGAAGAACATTCTTCTCTTGAAATTTCTCTTGAAATTACAATTCTGAGTCCTCTGTAAACTGGCTTCTCTTTCTCTATTGGACGTAGCCTTATGAGGCTTCCACAGTTGAACTGTGTTTATTGTCTTTTCCTTGTCTTTAGCATACATTATTCTTACTCCTTCCTTCACACTTTGTCTCATGGTGTTTCTCAAGTTGCAGTAATTTGACTTCTGCCATTTGAGGACCTAGTTATTCTTTATCTCCATATTCAGATCCTTTTTCTCCATGAAAATTTACCTGACATAAAGATGTCAGTTCTCCCCAAATAGGTTTAAGCTTCAAATGCAATATCAATTAATAAGGGACTCTGGTGGCACAGTGGGTAAGGCATTTGGCTGCTACCTAAAAGGTTGGCATTTAATCCTACCAGCTACTCCATGGGAAGAAGATGAGGCACTCTACTTCCATAAGGATTTACAGCCTTAGAAACGTTATGTGGGTCACTATGAGTTGTAATTGACTCGATGGCAGTCGGTTTGGTTTTGACATCCTTATAATAGTCAGTTTTTTAATTATGAGCTTGGAATAGCTCTCTAATTAGATTTTTTAAAAAAGATTTCAGTAAGATTTTACCATTTTAATTTTGTTTTCTAATTGTTGATGGTTCTATTTATTGACTTTTATATACTTTTGTATATACTTTTATATACAAAAATCCTCACAACTGGACCAATAAGCAGTGTCATGATAAATGGAGAAAAGATTGAAGTTGTCAAGGACTTCATATTACTTGGTTCTATAGTCAACACCAATGGAAGCAGTAGTCAAGACATCAGATGACGTATTGCACTGGGAAAATCTGCTGCAAAAGACCTCTTTCAACTGCTGAAGAGCAAAGATGTCTCCTTAAAGATTAAGTTGTGCCTAACCCAAGCTATAGTATTTTTAATTGCCTCTTATGCATGGGAGAGCTGGACAATGAATAAAGATTGAAGAATAGTTGATGTTTTTTAGTTGTGTTGGTGAAGAATACTGAGAGTACCATGAACTGCTAAAAGGACTAACAAATCTATGCTGGAAGAAATGCAGCTGGAATGCTCCTTGGAAGTGAGGATGGCCAGACTTCGTCTCACCTACTTTGGCCATGTTGTCAGAAGGGACCATTCCCTGGAGAAGGATATGCTTGATAAAGTGGAGGGTCAGCAAAAAGGGAAAGGCCCTCAATGAGATGGATTGATACAGTGGCTGCAGCGATGGGCTCAGGTATAGCAAGAATCGTGAGGCTGGCACAGGACCAGGCATTGTTTCATTCTGTTGTGCATAAGGTTGCCAAGAGTCAGAGATGACTCAATGGCACCTAACAAACAATAACATATACTGATTTTATAGCCAGCAAATTTTAGCTATGCATGTAATTTGGGATTTTTTACATACACACTCATAATGTCTATGATAATGACAAGTTTGTTTCTTCCTTTCTAATTTTTACACATTTTATTCTTTTTTGTTGCCATACTGCACTGGCTAGAATCTCCAGTGCACTGAGAATAGAAGGATTTCTAGCAGGCATGTTTGTTTTATTCAACATTTCAACATTATGCATAATGCTTATGGTAGGTTTTTTTTTTTTTTTAACTTCTCATTTGGAGATAATTTTAGACCTATAGAAGGGTTGTAAAAATAGTACAGAGTTCCAGTATACCTTTTACCTATGTAGCCCTTTGTCACATTTTATATAACCATAGAACAATGACCAACCAAACCAAAACCAAACTCACTGCTATTGAGTTGGTTCCAACTCACAGTGACCCCTCCTTGGGATTCTGAGGCAGTATCACTAGGGAAGTAGATTGCCCAATCTTCCTTATGGGGAGTGGCTGGTGGGTTTGAACCACTAACCTGGTTAGCAGTCAAATGCCTTAGGCACTATGCCACCAGAGCTCTTAGAACAGTGACCAAAATTAAGAAATAGATCTTGGAGTAAATACTGCAGAATGTATATAGATCCCACCATTTTTCTCACTAATGTCTTTTTGTTTCAGAATCCAATCCAAAATCTCACATTTAATTATGTCTCCTTAGTTGCCTCTTATCTGTAACAGTTCCTCAGTCTGTCTTTGTTTTTCATGACCTTGACACTTTTGAAGGTTGCTTGTCAGGTATTTTCTAGAATCTGTTAGTTTGGCTTGATTTGATATTTATTCATTATTAGATTGGGTTTATTCATTAAGGCAGTCCCTGGGTTATAAATGAGATCTGTTCCTAAGTGTGTCTTTAAGTAAGTCGTTAAGCAGAATTTGTGGTAAGTTGCAACAGGTGTATATGGTTCTTATTTAGCCTTACTTTACAGCAAAAGAAGGAGCACTGGTGTGATAATTGTTAAAGTATTTGGCTGCTAACCAACTGCCTGGTGGTTTGAACCTTCCAGCTGCTCCGTGGGAGAAAGATAAGGCAGTCTGCTTCCGTAAATATTTACAGCCTTAGAAACCCAATGGGGCAGTTTTCTGTCCTAAAAAGGGACCACTGTGAGTCAGAATTGACTAGATAGCCGTGGGTTTGGATTTGGGTTTTAGTGCAAGGAAAGGCTTGAAGCCTTTTCAGTGATTTAAAACTGCATGTGTAACAAGTGAAGGTGATTATGATGAAGAGTTTGTTGTAAGTAGGGGTTGGCCCAAGTTTCAAAATGAGGATTTACGTAATGTTAAAGGCAACAGTGGGCTCAAACATAGTAAAATTTGTGAGGATGGGCCAGGAGCCTGAAGTGCTTCATTCTGTTATACTTAGAGGTCACTATGAGCCCACACCAACTCAATGGGACCTAACCTAACCTAACCTAAAGAGCAAGTATGAGTTGTCCCTAAGTTGGAGATTCATGACCTGGGAACTGCCTTTATTGGGAAAGATACCACAGAGGCCCTTCCCAGCAGTCCATGGTATTGATATGTAAGAGAGGTGATGATAATGCTGACTACTTGGTTAAAATGTTGTCTGCCAGGATGCTCCATTATAAAGTTATTGTTTTCCTCTGTCATTACTCATATTTTTAGATTTGCCATTATTTTGTTTCTGCTTGAGCTTTTGCCTGCTAAATTCAGCATTCAACAGTGGATCTTGCCTGTGGTGATTATTAATGTGGTGTTCTAATGGTGATGTTCTAGTTACTAATTGAAATTCTTCTGTAAGTGTTGTCCTTTCAGTCCCCATTTATTTATTCAGTTATTATTTATATCAGTATTGACTTGTGTACTCATGGATAACTATTTTATTCTTTGGGTTATAATTCAGTACATTATTTATTTTGTTGCTCAACTTGTTCCCAATTTGACCTTTGGGAACTCTTTCAGGTTGGCTCTTGTACTATTTTGACATGACCCCTCTTGCTCTTTTGAAAAGCACTTCCTTACTTTCTCCATCTTAAGGATACTGAGTCTTCCACGTCATTGATATAGTGTATTTTTCCATTAATTTGGGTCTTTGATTTCTTCAATCATTGTTTTCATTGTATAGATCCTATACATGTTTTATTAGATTTACACCTAAGTACTGCATTTGGGGGTGGCGGGGAGGAAGGGAGTTATTGTAAGGGACATTTTTAAAAAATTTGGTTTCTAATTGTTTATTCATTGCTGTTGTTGTTGTTGTGTACCGTCGAGTCGCACCTGACTCATAGTGACCCCTCCTTGGGTTTCTGAGGCAGTATCACTACGGAAGTAGATTGCTAGTATATAGATATGACTGATTTTTTGTATATTGACCTTATGTCCTGTGACCTTGCTAAACCCACTTATTAATTCTAAGAGCTCTCTTGTACATTCCTTGGTATTTTCATACTATCTGTGAATAGTTTTATTTCATCCTTGAATGAAAGTTTAATTTTATCAAATGATTTTTCTACGTTTAGAGATGTTCATGTGGTTTTTCATATTTAGTGGCTTAATATAATAGATTACATTGATATTTAAATATTGAATTAGCCTTGCATTCCTAGGATAACCCTTACTTAGCAATGGCTAATTATCTTTTTTATATCTTGCTAATATTTTTATTGAGAACTTTTATTTCTGTTTTTATGAGGTTTATTCTTCTACAGTTTTCTTGTACTATCTTTGTCTGATTTTGCTGATCTCAAAGAGATGTGGGAAGTGTTCCTTCTTCTTCTGTTTTCTTGAAGATATTGTGTTGAGTTTATGTTATTTCTTCTTTAAATGTTTAAAAGAATTTGCCAGTGAAATCATTTGGGCCTGGAGTTTCTTTTATTGTGAAATTTTTAAATTATAAATTTGGTTTTAAAAATAGATATAGAACTATTCAGGTTAGATGTGTTTTGGTTGTGTATCTGTTGTTGGTAGTTTGTGGCTTTCAAGGAATTGGTCCATTTCATCCAAGTTGTTGAATTTTTGGAAATGGAGTTGTTTGAAGTCCCCTAATTTCCTTTTAATGTGGAGTTTGCAGTGATGAACCTCTTTCATCCTGATAATGTAACTTATGTC